TATATATATAAGTGGCGAAGATTAAATGTGTTACTAGAGAGTAACATACAGAGAAAAGGAGGAGGAGATGTAAGGGTGGGTGGTTGGCGGGTGCTCTTGTGTGCTTTGTTCCTATCCTTCTTTCCTATCAAACATCTATCGTCCTGATGTTTGTTACTCTCTTGTAACACCTCTAATCTTCGGCACTTATATGACCTTATTGAATTGCAAGTGCCGTAAAACATTTACTAAAACAAAAGACCTATTTACAGAATACAAACAGCACACAGAGCACACATTGTGATTGTCGTCAACAAACGTACAGTACGGGTTGTTGTAGAAAGAACACGAGTCGGCTGAGGGTAGGTAGACGTTTGTGAGGTCTGTCAACAGCTGAGCGGTGCTGTGAACCTTATGAACCGGTGTGTGGGAGTTTGGCGGGTGCTCTAGTGGCAGTTTGCTCCTTCTTTCCGATCAAACATAATCTATCGTCCGTATCCCTCCTCCTTCTTTTCTGTGTTTGTTACTTGCATGTAACTCCTCTAATCTTCGGCACCTATATGACCGTATTGTGTTGCAAGTGCCGTAAAACTCTTACTAAATAATAATTTTAGATAGAACCGGTGTGTCGTGAACTTTCTGAACTGGTGTACAGTGAACCGGTTAACCGGGTGCACCCGGTACTCGGAGTTGAATCAGGCGCTAGAACCGGATATCCAGATGTGTGTTTGTGTTTCCGGCCAGCACTTACTCCCTCCCTGGGGTGCTGCGATCCTGTGTCCGCTCATCGATCCGCCGGATTGGTCGCGCACGTGCGCGCGCGCGCATTCTAGCGCCAGCAAAACAGCACTCGCTCAAACACTCGCTCACTCACTGACACACACACACGCACACACGCACACGCGCGCGCACGAGGGGAAATAACTCAGGCCCCAGAAGCCAGGCACCCCCCCCCCCCCCCCCTCCACACACACACATCCACACACAGACACATTCACAAGAGCTGGAAGCTGGCTTTGTCGGGTGGCACTGTACGGAGAGTGGGCCAGCGATCATATCATTATCCTTCTCCTCCTCAGAGAGAGAGAGAGAGAGAGAGAGAGAGAGAGAGAGAAGAGAGGGGACATTTCTGTTGGCTAACTACTTCTATCCACACGACTGTATGTGGCCCAGGCAAGGAG